TATCAGGGGGGTGCGGGGGGGACGCGGCGGGGTGGGGGGTGAGGTGGAGACTAGACAATGAAAATATTTGTACCTAAGAATACCACATGTCGAGTCCCCTCTTGACCACCAGAGGGCACTGCGATCACACCACCTTTCCTTTCTCTGCTTCCATCTTCCTTTCTGGGCTCCAAAGATACCGGCCAAGGAGGCTATGAATACACAGTGCAGCAGCTCAAGGATGGAAACGGAGGAGAGGTGTGCCACAGTTCCTTCTTCCACCCACTTCCCCAGCTTACTCCCCTGACCACATCTCCATCCAACCGCTCAAGGTCTCTCAGCGATTTTATAAGGCCCTGTGGACTCCAGAGGTTACCCAAGTGTTATTCACTCACCAACCCATCCACCCTTCCATGTCCTCGTCCCTGTTCCCAGCCCTCCACCCGCCAACTGGGGCATCGAGTCCAGCGGGGGCCGGGGCCGGGGAAGGCAAAGAGGTCACACCAGGCTGACAGAGTCAGTGAACTCAGTGGGCATGAGTTTTAGCGTGCCAAGGCCAGTTAAAAACTGAAGGCATTTAAAAACGGCAGGACATTATTAGCAAACCAAACCGTATCTGAAAGCAATTCAACTTCGGATCTTTAAAAGATCCCACTGTGGCATTACGCGGTGTGGACACGTATATTAATTTATCGCCAGCCCTTCAAGACAATATAGTAGGTAAAATTCCATAAATATTTCAGTACCTGTGGACTCTGTTCCAATCACTTCCCGAGTAATAGATCATTTTGGCAGTTACTTGGCAACATTTTAAGACCTGCTTTCTGAGGCCCTAAGTAGCTCAGCTTGTAAAACCAATCTACAAAGTACTGAAGGGAATCTGACCGTAAGGCTGTGAATAACGTCTCCATTGATCCCTGTACACCTCAGATTTATGCCAGATGATGAGGGCTTTCTTCATTTCAGGTATGTAGCGCTCTTTATTTTTTTTTATTTTTTTATTTTTTTAAATTTATTTTTTTTTCAACGTTTATTTATTTTTTGGGGGACAGAGAGAGACAGAGCATGAACGGGGGAGGGGCAGAGAGAGAGGGAGACACAGAATCGGAAACAGGCTCCAGGCTCTGAGCCATCAGCCCAGAGCCCGACGCGGGGCTCGAACTCACGGACCGCGAGATCGTGACCTGGCTGAAGTCCGGACGCTTAACCGACTGCGCCACCCAGGCACCCCTGTAGCGCTGTTTAGACCACTGGAATCCAGTACAGCGCTACTGGAAAATGATCAGAAGCAGAGATCCTCAAACATATCTCTATTTGGTGGGTTGCCGGGTAACCTCTTTTCCTCTCTCCCAGCAATTCAGCTGAGGGATTCCAAAGCCTTAGACAGTACCAACGAAGAGCTACCCCGCAAGCCCCTTGCTTCTTGATATTTGGTTGCTTTTTAGCCAAAGGAGAGCAGTTTTGTTCGAATAATATACCAGTATGTGAAGGACAATGCTGATTTCCTAAAGGCTGGATAAAAATCGTTCTTCCCATATGAACAAACAACAATAAAAG